GCTGGGGCAGTAGTGCTCAGAGAAACGCACAGTCGATCCTAGCATGACACAACACTGTATCAGTGCAGGGGTCTGGGGCCCTAAACCAGAGCAGCCCCCACCCCCACCCCAATGCAGGCATGAGAGCAGAGGTCAAGGGCAGCGCCTACAGCACGAACACTAGACGCAGGAAGAGAAATGAAAGCCAAGGAAAGGAGGGGGACAATGCCAGGAGAAAGTTGGGACAAGACCCCCTAGGACCTAGGGCCTAGGGACCCTGGTGGGAAGAGGCCTGGAATGTGCCACAGCCCTGGAGGGCAGAGGGATAAACTGGGGAGGGGAACTGGCCAGGAGCAGTGACCTGCGGTCAGGAAGCAGCAATCAGGGTCTGCTACCATCCACCAGTGAGTGGCCCCCCCCATCACCCCATCTCCTCCCCCATATCCACACACAACCCCCCACCCCCACCCCCGCCTCATCATAAGCAGCCAGGCATGGAGAAATGCCCGCTGCCCCCTGTGGGGAGAGCTGGAGCCAAGTCAGGGCTGGAGCCAGGGGAGGATGTGGCAGGGAGGATCGATGTAACCATGGCAGCCAACGCCACCCCCGCCGCCCCCTCGGCTGCAGCCTGGAGCCCAGCACCGGTCATCGCCGCCGGGAGGAAGGAAGGGCGACCTCCCTCCCAGGAGTGATGCTCCGGCCCCTGGAAGCCTTTTCCTCCCCTGAAGCCCCTCTGGGGCAGCTTCCTCTCCTGCCTCCCTCTCCGTGAGACCTGAGGTCCCCACGACTCTGGAGACCTGCTGACCCGGCCTGCCCCTCCCCCTGGCCGCCCAGAACAGGACTGTCCCTTCCAGCGAGAAGCAGTCTTGCCTATCACCCTCCTCCCAGACCTGACCCAGGCAGATGCTCATAAAGGGCAGGTAAATGCAGAGCGTGGAGTCAGGACAGGCCGGGCTGAGTCCCAGCTCTGCCACCACCCAGCTGTGTGAGTGACCTGGGCAAACTGTTTAATCTCTCTGGGCTTCGGTTTCCCATCTGTAAAATGAAAGATGCTACTTAGCTCCCAGGGCTCATCTGCCACTGCTCCACGCGCCACCCCCCCCCCCCCCGACCCCCGCAACGCTGGGGAAGCAGCCTGGCCCCAGGCAGGGCCGTGGGGGGCTAGCTCTGGGTGCCAGGTACCCCTATCCCCTGGGCAGTGGGCCCCGGGCAGCGCCCCAAGCCCCGCAGCCCAACCCCCTCCCCCGCCATCGCGGTCCGAGGCCGGCTGCTCCCGCCCGCCCGCCCTATTATTAATTCATTAAGAGGAACCAGCGAGCTGTGCACTCAGCTTCCTCATTAACCCTCCAGCCGGGCGGGCCCTCTCCCTCCTAGGGGCCTGGACCTCCCTTCCCCCCATCCGGGCAGGCGGAGCCGCCCACCAGAAAGATGGAGTTGGGGCTGCGACACCCCTGCAGCCAGCTGTCCCCGGAACCCCCTCCCCTCGCACACGCACTCGGGGAGCACCAGAAGGCGTGGGGGAAAGGGCTGGAGCCCCCATAGTTCCCTAGAAGGTTCTATGCCCTGGTTTCCCAAATTTTTAATGACACACACTGAAATGGCACAGTCCCTTAAGTCACACTTCAGTCCCTGAGGACGATTTCTAATCTTTGCTTTTTACCCCAAGAAGAAGACCTGGGACCTCTCCCAGGCTGGGAAGCTTCTGGCTGCAGCGAACCCCCTCCCGGGCTCCAGGCCCAGGCCCAGGTCCGAAAGACACTGGAGAGTTTCCTAATCTTTTAAACGGGGTGTGGGACTCCGGGGGCACCAACCTCCCAGGGTTGTTTGTAAAGAGCCGAAGCAGGTAAAGGGCTGAGTCCTGTCCCACTGGCTTTGAGACCCAGGTAGGGCCAGAGGGGGAACAGCGGTACCGTGAGGAAGGGGCTGTGCGCCTTCCCAGCCCAAAGGGTCCCCAACATTTGTTGGGGGTGGAGAGGAGGAGGTAGCAGTTAAATCATAGAACTGGGTAAGCTACTGGCGCTCCGGGGGCCCGTTTTCCTTGTGAGTTACATGGAGTTGACGGGACTCTGTCACAGGTTCGCTGTGAGAATGTGTGGGGCGCGGGTAAGGTGTTTTGGCCAGGTTCAAGCCTCGGACTAATGAAAGGACAGGGTCCTCTCATTGCCACGTGCAAGTCCCAGCTGCAGGGCCCTCCCAGCACAATTATAGCCAACGGCTGAGGTTGTAAGCTTGAACCTATGGTCCAAACACGTAGCCCCACGTGCCTTGTGATAGAGTTCGGGTACATGTAGTTGAGTGTGGTTGAAACTCACGAGAATGCTGTAAACAACGTGATCACTCCCCTACTTTGCCTCGTGGCATCTGCTATAAAATAAAGACACGGCTTGTGGGCGCTGGCGCTGTCTCCTCATCAGGGAGCAGCGTCCCACTGAGACCCAGCTTTCATTCTCTTGTCTGTCTTTTCTCAATCCTCCCCCCCCGCCCCCCAACTCAGGGTCACTGAACTAGGCTGAGCTGGCATGGCACATAAGGCGCCCTGGGGCTGAGTATGCCATGGCCGTGCCGGTTCCCCACAAGAATGAAGTGATGAAAGCGCTCGGCCCGGTGTCTGGAATGCTGTGGGATCCTGGGTTCCCATGGGGGCACCTCTGGATGAGACCACCAGACCCCATCCCTCCCACACAGGGGACAGCAGCCCTGCGTTCCTGGTGCGGTGCAGAACCTTACGTAAGACGTCAACATCATATAGAACACAAATCAAAGTGGAAGTTCATTAGCACAATCTTATTTGAAAGCCTAAAATTTTAACATTCACTTATTAAAGTCAATCAATGAAAACAATTGGGAAAATCAAGATTACAGTTGACAGGTGCAGTCAGATTATCAGCCTGAGCATCTCTTTGTTTCTGATGATTTTTTAAAATATGTTTTTATTGATTTGAGAGAGAGAGGAAAAAAGAGAAACATTGATGTGAGAGAGACATATCAACTGGTTGCCTCCTGCACACACCCTGGCCTGGGGTGGGGAGTGAACCTGAAACCCAGGTAGGCGCCCTTGACCAGGAATCAAACCCTTCAGTGCAAGGGGGCGATGCTCTAATTGCTTAGCCACATCGGCCGGGCCATTTCTGAAGTTTTTTGGTTGCACAGTACTGAGAAGCTGCTGGCAGGAAATGTTCTGAGGATCTATACAAAAAAGGGTTAATGAGGCGGCTGGAGGTACATACCAAAGGTCTCTAGTTAGGGTGAAGGTTAGATTTGTAGCATTTTAAAGAGTGTGGATATTTTAAAAATCTGTTTACAATCTATTTTAAAATAAAATGTGAATCGGAGGTTTGCAACCAGAGTAGAAAAACCACTGGGCCCTAACTCCAACCCTAACCCTAGTCACCACCCTGCCAGCCCCGTCCTCACTCCTCGCTGGGGCTCTAAGGAAAGGCTAGTCACCAACAGCTTCCCCCAAACCTTCCCTACCCGACACCCTCCAGCCTACCGCCCCCACCAGCTTTCCACCATCTGCCCCCGGCTGGCACACCTGGGTACTGCAGGGGGATGTCAATCTTGGGCCCGATGACATAGTGGCCTTCCTCCAGGGTGTGGGCCGTCACTGTTGTCCACTGGCGGCAGGAGTGAATGAGCAGGACGTCTCGCTCACTGACGCCTCAGCATACTTCCCTTGGGAAGGGAAAGAAGGACAGAAGAGGGAGGAGGAGAAAAAGAGAACATTAGGAGGGCCCAGAGAGAATAGGCAAGATGACCTCCTTACCTTCTCCCTAAGACCCTTTCCTGAGGACAGCTCCCCATGGCCCCTGTCCAGGTCAGCAGTGCTCTAGGGCAGTGATGGCGAACCTTTTTGAGCTCGGCGTGTCAGCATTTTGAAAAACCCTAACTTAACTCTGGTGCCGTGTCACATATTGAAATTTTTTGATATTTGCAACCATAGTAAACAAAGATTTATATTTTGATATTTATTTTATATATTTAAATGCCATTTAACAAAGAAAAATCAACCAAAAAAATGAGTTCGCGTGTCACCTCTGACACGCGTGTCATAGGTTCGCCATCACTGCTCTAGGGACAGACGGGCTGGCAGCTGTGGCCTCACAGCTGAGTCAAGGCCCTCTCTCAGGGCTTAGGCTCCTGATGTGGCCTCAGCAACCAGCCCAGACGCTGTTCTTCATTCATCATCTGATTGGACTGCCTGCTGTCCCAGGCCCTCCTAGCAGATGAGCCCAGTCCCTGCCCTCCTGGACCCCGTAGGCCTGGGGGGAAGTGGAAAGAGATGTGAACAGAGAATATAGGCCAAGCGCGAGGCACTGAGTGGAGGCTGTCTGGGCTCACAGAAGGGAGCAGCAAACCAGCTGAGGACGGGGCGAGGAAGGGAGACTACTGAGCAGCAGACACTTAAGCTGGGCCTCAGAACCACCGGAACTCACAGTAGCGGAATTCTCAGCCCCCATGTCAGTGCCCAGGCCAGGCCAGGCAAGGAGGGTCAGGTTGGAGAATGGAGAGTCCAGATGGGGCTGCCCATTGTAGGTCCAGCTGTGAGGGCCCCCCAGAGCCCCGAGTCACTCAGGCCAGGAGAACGGCAGGGCTTAGAGGAGCTGATTCCTGGGTCTTTCATGGGCAGCCCCTTGCCACCCCCTGCCACAGTCTCCTCCACTCGGGGGACCTCCGGGAAGAGGGGAGAACGTCTCAGACACCTACTAGCCCACCTCGGAGAAGCTGCTTCCTGGCTGTACCCCTGTCAGCCCTTCGTGCTCCCGGCCTGTGGAACACGGTGGTGGTGGCTGGAGAAGGGGGTGGACTAGAAGCTGGAGGGGGCTAGTCCCGGGGAAGCCGCACTGGGCAGAGGTGCTGAGAGGGGCCTGGGCCCCGGCGGCTCCAACCCCAGCAACGGTTTCCAGGGGAGCCGAGGGCTGGCCCAGCTTGCAGGAGGCAGTAGAGCTGTCTCCTGGCTGCAGCTGGCGGGCAGGGTGGGGGGAGGATGCCTCCTTCCCAGTCCCCGCAGACACAACTCACTAACTGTCCAACCAAATGGGAAATGATTTACTCTGATGGCTGGGAGCTCCATGAAATCTGTGGATGTGTTGAAGGAAATGGGGGTAGAATGTGTTCAGGACGGTGGGGAGACCTGGCTTTCCCACTGTGTGTGGGTGTGGCCGGGATGGGGGCGGGGGGAGTCTGAGCCTTCCTCCCAGGCAGAAGAAGCTCTGCTACTCTGCACCCCACCTCTGAAAGCTCCCCTAAGCCCCAGCCCACCCGCCTGACACCCACTGCCACGATCATGGTCACCAACAGTGGAGCCAGCACAGCCACCGGCCCACACCCCAATGACTCCACTCAATCCCATGGCCCCACTGAGAGGGCCCCTTCCAAATGCATAAGGCGCACGGGGACCTTCAAGACTTCCAGACACACTTTTGATCACATATTCACACTCACGGTGACCACAGCCTCCAGGGTCATAGACAGCCGGGCCATCACACCAGTTGCTCATTCACTCATTCATTCATTCATTCATTCAGCCGGTGGGTCAGTCCGGCCACAATCTTCGTTAGGCAGGATGCCCCCCTCGGGGAGCCTGCGGCCCAGCGCGAAAACAAGGCCCTAACCATGGCATTGGGGGCGCACACTAACCATGGCATTGGGGGCGCACACTAACCATGGCATTGGGGGCGCACACTAACCATGGCATTGGGGGGCGCACACTAACCATGGCATTGGGGGCGCACACTAACCATGGCATTGGGGGCGCACACTAACCATGGCATTGGGGGCGCACAGTGGGAGACAAGCCAGGGGTGCGAGGAGCATCCAGGGCGCGCAGAGGAGGCCCGAGCACAGTGAGGAGCCCTCGCCCCAGGAGAGGGAGCTGCCAGAGGACTGTGGGCAGCGGCCAGCATATCCATGCGC